CAAACAACAAGATTGTTTTCCAATGTTAAGTTGAAAAAAGTTTTCTCACTTTACCTTCAAGTTCATTCAATCATTTTGTTTTTATTTATCAATTTTGATTTAAATCACAAAATCACAACATTTATTTTCATCATCACCTTTTCATCCTCATGTTAATCAGTTTTTCAATCTTCATCACTTTATTATTTTTACAACATTCTTTCATCATCATCATCATAATCATGATCATGATCATCCTAAGCTAATATATATGAAAGATAATGATTAATTTTTTGCTTTCTGCTTGTTTACTATTAAATAGTAAACACTTTTCCAATTGATTATCACAATGTGACAATAAGGTAAAAGAAACTATTATTAGTTTACCTGAAGGTTTTATCACATTATTGTGATAAATTGTTACTCTAATCCCCGAAAATAAGCAATAAGATTGAAATTGTAAATTATCAGGAAAGTTAATTGCAATTAAATGAAATATATTTTTATAAAAATCAAATACTTTATGTAAGGTAAAAGGTTAACTAATGAATGTTCAATTAAATTTCATTGATTATCATTAAGAAGCGCGTGTCTTGTTAAAAATAAATCTTCATCTCTCTCTCTCTCTCTCTCTCTCTCTCTCTCTCTCTCTCTCTCTCTCTCTCATGATGATGATGATGGAGTCAAGAACAAGAAGGAGGATGAAAAGGATGAGAAGGGTAACCGTGATGATGAAATTGAATTCGTTGGTTTTTTTGGCCAATTATTTGGTCGGATATTGATTATCTTTCCAATCAAATCTTGACATGAAACATTTTCCTCATCATCAAGATGATGTATTTACCTTTAAGGGTTTTCAATGCAAGAGATGATCCAACATGATGATGATGATGAAAATGATAATCACCATGATTATCATTAGACTTCAATCCAGTAAATGAATAACATTTATTTTAAATTTTCTGATGTTTTTTGGTTCATTTATTAATCTAATCCAATTTGTAAGATGTTTTTTTATGAATATTTTGAACTCTACAAACTAACATAGATTAATCATCCTCATCATTAAAATCTTCATCTTTATCTTCATCATTTTCTCATCTATCATCACCATATGATCATGATAATGATGAGAAAACAATCAAATCCCCTGAAGATAATGATGATGACAAAATTACATCTCCTCTTTTTATGAGAACCAAATCAATTTATCAACAATTTTCACGATTCTTTGATTTAATTGTTTGGAAAAATAGAAACTAAATTAGTTAATTGATAACCAATTTTAACCATGAAAAAAAACAGTTCAATGTGAAACTGTTAACAAGTAACAATTAACTTTTGGTAACAACAATTAATACACACCTTTTAACCGTTTATTTAATTTTGTTTTGTTTACTTAATTGTTGTTATTAATTTACGATTAAAAAATTATGTTTATTGATATAAATCATTTAACTACATGATTAACATGATGATGACGATTAAAAAATTAAGTTAACTGTTCAATATAAATGATACCTTACGGCTTTTGGTTAATCATAATAATCAGTTGATTGTTGTTAGTTAAAAAGTTAATTGATAACCGGTTTAAATATTAGGTTTAAACTAAATTTAAACTGAAAATGATTATGATAATCAAATAGTTAATTGTGATCAAGGATCATAATCTGGTTTCCCTTGAAAAATAATAATAACATTATTATCAACAGGTAAACAATTAATTGATTGTTAGTAAGTTGAATGATATTTGTTGACAATAACGTTGACATTTAATTTGGTTTAAATTGTCTTAGATTAAATATTGATAATTTAAACCAAATATAATCTAATCAATCATCTAATTAAATGGACTGTTAATTATCAATTATAATTTAATGTTAATACATGATAACAATTAAGGTGATAATAAATTGGTCTGGATTAGTTGATTAACATTGAGAGATTTACAGTTAATCATCATCATCATCACCATTAAGTTTAAATGAAAAGCCAGACAAGGTTGATGATAATTATCATCATGATTATGATGATGATGATTAAGAAAACCCTTAAATCAAAACAATGAGAAGTGTCAACAATTAAGGTGAAAATTGGAAATGTCATTTGACAACAGACAAAAAGTTAATGATAATTGTAATCGGTTGATTGAATTTTAAACAATATCATATACTCACAATAATATTAACACATTAGAAAAATAAATTGATCATATTAACAGCAAACAAACAGCAACAACAATCAACAAATTGAGTTAATAAAAGCTAACGTTAGTAACGTCATCATAATAATAATATGATCAACCGGAAGTTGGATACAGTAGATGAGGATAATGATGATGATGATGATGCTCATTGAGGTAAGAAAAGCCTAAGGGTGGTTGGTAATGAAGATGAAGATGATCTTGATTATATATATAAAAGGTGAAGGTGTCAGCTAATTGTTGATCAGGGAGGTGGTAAATTGTTACCCTTGGTTAATCCTTGATTGACCCTATTAAACTGTTGATTTAGTTTCTGATCATCACAAAGAAATTGATATATTAACGATAATCAATGATGAAATTGAAGCCAATGGTCTTAATGAATTTAAAGGTTTGCTATCATTTTCTTGTTCATTGCATGATGGTGATGATCATCACTATCATCATCATGATTCAATGATATAAGAAATGAGATTATCTCTCTCATCTTCATCTTCTTTCATCATCAAATTGAACATTTTTTTCACGCCTTCCAATTTGGGGTAAATATTTTTTGTTATTATTTAGAGTTCGTGGTTAAATTAACAATTTAATGGACTTTGGTGTTGACCGTTTCTTTTATCATTTTAAATTAACCAAATGGGTGTTTTTTTAATTCATCTTCATCTTATTGTTATCACTTTCAAAGATTATCATCTCAGCTTAAATCATCTTAATCTTAATCTTTATCCTCCTTCCAATCATGACTTTATCTTGTTAATTGTTGAGCCATTAAAACAAAACACTAAAAACTTTTAATTCAATCAGAATTGTTTTCAACTCTCTCTCTCTCTCTCTCTCTCTCTCTTCATGTGTTTTTTTAATCCGGTTGCTTGATTGTTATCAAATTAATGACAATTAAAGGCAATTACATATGTAAATTTGATTAACATCATAAACATAAATGTTAAATCAAGATAATCATCCAATTAACAGATTATGATTAACAATTTGTACTTTACAATCAAAAACAGTATTAAGATAAGAATAGGAAAAAGTTGATTATATGTTATTATTTAATTCCTTGATTGTTATAAATTAATTGAAGTAAGATAATCACTACTGATAATTAATATCTTAATTCATGATCAACAAGGATTAAAGTTATAAAATCACAATTAAAATCAATGATAAATTGAAATAAATCAACTGATATGATCAAACTTTTTTTTCTTTCAAGAATAGAAAAGTAAAAATAATGATAACAATAAAGGGAAATCAATTAATCTTGATTACAATTTAAACTAACTAATTAATTGAATCAATTCTATTGATTAGTATTAATTGAACAATTTAAATCCCAAATCAGAAACCTTTGGATGAACTCAATGAACTGAGAAACAAAAGGAAAGAACAAAAAAATTATCAAGTTACCTTGATTATCTTGATGATGATGATGAAGATGAAGATGAAGATGCTGATAATGATGAGGATGATAATGGTCATCATTTTATTATTATTATCGCTTTGAGCTCGTATCAGAAAAGGCTTGGCCATTGGAATCAACCTCAAGAAATGAAAATATCTTTCAACAATCAGGAAATCATCTGATAATAATAATAACAAATTACACGATTATCTTCCTCATCCTTTTCTCATCCTAATCATCATCATCATCATCATGTTATTGTCTATATATTATATTACAAATATCATCTAATAACAATTGAACAAGTGAAGATGATGAAGATGAGTAGTTAAAATTTTTCTTCCATACTAATTGTTTGGATGAAATTATTAAATTGGTTATCATATTTTTCCTGTTGTTGTTTTTTTTTACTTCTCTTGGTTATTTCATCCTTTTTTTCATTCAATATTAACATGATGATGAGTTTTATTTTCTTCATGATAATCAACTGATTAGTGGTAGTAGATTTGTATCTAATGAATGAAACAGCATGAAGTCAAGATATTAAATCCAATGGTGAAAGGTAAGTAATTAAGACTCATCATCACTTCCTCATCATGTAAATCAGCTGATGATGAAAATCTCTCTCTCTCTCTCTCTCTCTCTCTCTCTCTCTCTCTCTCTCTCTCTCTCTCTCTCTCTCTCTCAATAAAGTCTCAACTTTTTCACCCAAAAATAAATAATTAAGATGATTTACTTTTGAAAGCAACTCTCATTTACCTTTTTTTTCAACTCATCTATTCAAGTCACAATTAACTTAAATTGATTAACTTTAATTCTGAATATGGTTTAACATAATAATTGATAATAATCAGCCAACAAACTGATCTTAAATGCTTAAACAAACTGGAAGACTATCATTCGGATGATAAACTATTAATTTAAATTGGATTCATCTTCTCAGATGACCCATTAGTATTGCTCATTTAATTATTTCCATTTCCGTCAATCAATAGCACTTAAAAAAAATTATCACCATCACCATCATCAGTAGTTATTAGTTATATTATTAATAATATAATTTGTAATAATAATAAAAATCTCATCTTCCTTTTCATCCTGAACATCATCATCCATCCTCTATGGATCAAAATACATGTAACAATAATCACTACGATTATCATCATTATCATCATAATAATCATAAGTATCATGATGATAATCATGATTATATTAAAAAGAAAACAGTTTCAAGTTTAAATATATCTTTTTATCATTTCGTTTTAAACTGAAAACTGATAATCATGTTTGGATATTAAAAAAAAATGTTCATCATCATGATGATCATAATAATCAGTGATCAATGGTTAATCATTATTCAATCATTATGAGGAAGAAAAAATTAAAGCTTCAAATAATAACAATAATAATGTAATATAATTATAATCAACTAAACGGTTAATAACAATTTAGAGTATGAAAATTTATATAAACTAATCCATATACGGATAACGGTACTTTTTTTCATGTGTTGTTTGTTTATTATTCAAGCTTCCTCCGCTTCATGTTGTTCATCATCATCATCATCATCATCCTCATCATCGTCAGTATCATCATCATTATCAACATACACACACATATACACAAAGTCCAGACAATCAACAACAATTTATTAATCACACACCTTAATCTCCTTTTGATTATCATCTTTTTATTTTTATGAGTAAACAAAATATTAGATAACAACAGAAAGATGATATTTGAGACAATTTAATCCCATTGTAGTAGGTTGATTGTTGATTGTTTATCTTAATTCATTCATGATTTGATGATGATGATGATGATGATACAACCAGTAAAGGTTTAATCAAACTTGAATCAGTAAATACATTATAAGGTTAAGGTTTCTCATTGTGACTCTTTAAAAGTTAATTGTTGTTGTTGCCAAGTTTTAATGTCATCACCATTATGTTAATCAACTTGATTAAGATTAAGATGATTGTAATTAAGGTGGAGGAGTTTTTTTTATTTCTGCCTCATTATTTGTAATTAAATTATTTAATTGATTAATCTACTAATTGAGGTAAACGTGTTATTACATTTTCAATTTAATTGTAAATTATTTTTTCACTCTAATTGTAACATTGTTAAATTATTGCCTTTTTCCAATGGTTGGTTGGTTGATTGATTGATTTATTAACTATAATTACTGTTATTGATTACAATTGTTATATTTACTATTATTATATGTGTGTATTTATATATATATGTGTGTGTATACTTGTAGGCCTTTTATCAAGGATGTAAATTGAAAAAATTAACTCATTAATACACTAATTGTGAGAAACAATGAAGTTAATTTGTAAATTATGGTTTGATGATTAACTTTGATCAATTGATTAGTTTCGGGAAGGAAGAAGCTGTTAAAAGATTGATTATCATTATTGATTGTTAATCATCTTCCAAGTTAATTAGTTTACCTTATTAAGAGAGAAATCTTAATCAAATTAGTAAACCATAGTATTATAAACTAAGTGTAGTTTAAACAACAATTAGCTAATTGTAAACAAGTGGATTATGAAAAGATGAGATAAACAAATTGTCAATTGTTGTTGTGATATTTGGGAATAATATTTAATTGTTTACAATCAATTTAAGTTTATAATAAATTGTTAAACACGGAACAAGGAAGAGGACACAGAGATGTTTAATTATAATTAGCTTACTATTGATTAACAAATTAGATTGTCATGAGAAATCAAATGATTATGAAGAAAAAGTTAATTGAAATTGAAAGTAGTTTGCTTGATAATATTAACTATCAACAGGTTACCTGTCAACAAGTTGTTGATGACACTTCCAGATGACCAAGAGATGACCTTAATTTACAATTTTCCAGTTAATTAAGTGTTAATGATAATAATAAACTATTAATCTTAATTTAGAGTTGATTTAGAGTTGAAATTAAATCAACATGGAAAGCGGATCGATGTTTATATTCAAATATACTGACCATTGGGCAGGGCTACCAAATAAATATAAATATCGGTCCAATTGACTGATTGCTTATCATTTCAATATCTAAATTGTTCAATCAAACATCATAATCATAATCGTAATCTTAATAATCATCATCATCATTTTCGCAATAACAATTAATACCTCAAAGTGAAAGTGAAAGGAAAATATTTCATTCATTGAAATTCAGTTATTCAGTTTAATCACTTGTTTATCTTGTGTGTTTATCAACAAAATTAAAAAAATACTCAGGTAGTTATAAGGATAATCAAGGATAATTAAGATTACCAAGTAAGTGTGATTAAAATTAATTGTTTACACGAGATTAATAGAAGATGATTTAACACTTAAAAGTTTTTCTATTCTTATTGTTTACATTGTTTATCAATAGAAAGATGCAAAGTAAACTTGTTTTCATGTTCTTATCGTTAATTGTGATCATTTTGGTTAATTGTTCACCGACCTCATCGACAATGTCACGTCGTAAGATGATGAAATTGAAGAAATTAGCGGCATTGGCGTTGATTCTGAAATCGCAGAAAAAGAAACTGTATGCGATTCCAATTCCAATTCCACTTCCAATTCCGTGAGTATACAGAAAAAGCGATAATTAAGTTGATCACTATCGGTGTTAAATGAACCAATGTAACAATTATCATCTCTCTCTCTCTCTCTCTCTATCTCTCTTCCTCACTTAATTGTTAACAGAATATATAAAAACAAGATGATGGGTCAAGCTGAATTTGTCCAAGAGCAACAATCAAATTTGGTGACTAATCATCAACATCAACCCACTCCAATGGCCCACTCGCAGGGTCAGATGATTATGGTTGATCAAAATCAACCTTTAATTGCAACATCACCAGTACACCATCAAATTCCGGTTCCGGTTCAAATGGCACTTCAACAATCATCACAGAATCATCATCATCATCATCATCAGCATCTTCTTCCTTCTCATCCTTCAACGATTCCGATACCTGTTGAATATCACCAAGAATCAACACCAACAGGAGTTTGGTAAGTTCAATATAAATTGTATATGAAAAAAAAAGGTAACAAACAAAAAGATTATCTTCCTTATCATCTCTTGCTTGGATGATGATGCTCATGTTACTGTCAGGTTTACTCATCATCAGAATGAAAAAAAAATCGTATCTTCAGTAAACACAGCTGATTGCACATGTTATTGTGTATTCACAATATAATCAATGTTGCACTCTACTAACATAAAAATACAATTCTCAAGCTAATCTACTATTATTAAACATCAACAGTTAAATTTACTTGATTATTATCATGACAATTTAACAATAATCAACATTTCAATTAATCCATTCATCATTTTATACACATGAAAAGTTGATTATGTTTGCATTTCTTATGAATGACAACAAACAAATGACATTAATCTGCTTCTCTCTCTCTCTCTCATCTTCATCTAGCCATCAATAGGAATTGATCATCAATTGAAATTTAATTGTGCCAAACATTAATTTCTAATGATTAACAATCATTAGAATGAGTCTTGAATGATTGATTCAGTTGAATTATAATCAAATAATAGGTGAAATTTGCTACTGTTCAAAATTGATACTGATAAACATTTGCTTGGGTGTCGCAGTCAAATGGGTGTTGGCTTTTCAATCATCTCATCATCATCATTGTCTCATCTTTATCATCAATCAAAACAAATTACAATAGTTCACGTAATTGACTCTCTCTCTCATCATATTCATCTTTAATTGTCCATTCATCATTTAGCTTCTTTTAATAAATTGTCTCAATTAAAACACTTTCATCATGTAAACTGAATTAATTGTTGATCGAAACTTAATAAACTTTCAATTCTAAAGAATCAATTGACTTTACTGGTTCGCGATTGTTAATCATTAGAAAAACTTAAATTGTTTATCATTTAAATCAATAACATTCAACCTTCGGTTGAGCTTAAAAATCATTTAACCGAATTAAACCAGTTTTTCTGGTTATCATCAAACATCATCATTTGGGAGTCAAACTGAGTAAGAGAGAAGATGATTAGTTAAATTAGTCGCTTGTTGATTAACTTTGTTGGTCAAATGTGATCAACATGCTATCGAAAAGAGCAATTAACTCAATTTAGATTCTTAAAGTTGTGTTGACTTTCATGGCAATTTACTAGATATTAAGTGAACAAGACGTTGGGTTTTAATTAAGAAACAATATAATTAGAGTAAAGTGAATATTTTGTTTTGGTGAACATGTTATGCTTTTTGTTTTTGGGAAGATGTGATTTGAAAACATCTAAAATGGCACCAATTGTATCAATTCTCAATCACAAGTCAATATTTAATATTTTAAGTCGTATTTTTTAAAAATAAATGTAAAATAAGATACAGGGGGATGGATATTGAATTTCCTAGTGTTTGAGTTTGTTTTGTTTATGATCAAATAATACATGAGAAATGATTTTTTTTTGTTTCATTTTTTTTGTTTGTTTCAATTTTATGGTTGTTGATGTTTGTTTGTTATGAGTGTGAGAGAAATTGAGAGCAGATCTGTTGGAATAGATCTTTGTTGATAAAATTTTTTCTTCTGTTGTTTTACAGGAATTATGGTTAAAGGGATGCACGAGGAAAGAAATTGTTCGCATTACTTGATAATTTTTACTTGGTAAATTATCCTCATCCATAGTGGAACAGATGAATATTCACTCGATTGTCCGATTGAAAGTACCTGTTGATTTTATGTTATCGGGAATAAAATAAACAAACGATATAAAATGTTCTTTAACCGGATTTTCCTTCACTTTCTTTGGTATCATCTTTTTTCTCCGCTGATTTTTCACCGACTTCACCACCACCACCAGCTTCGCTTTTACCTTGAGATTCATCTACTTCACCACCAGATTTATCAGCTTTATCTCCTCCATCAGTTCCTTTTTCACCTTCAGCTTTTGCTTCGGCTTCTTTTTTCTCTTGTTCAGCTTTCTCCTTTTCAGCCTTTTCTTTCTCTGCCTTCTCTTTTTCGGCCTTTTCTTTCTCAGCTTTTTCTTTTTCTGCTTTTTCCTTTGCTTCGCGCTTCTTTCGCTCTTTCTCTTCTTTCTCTTCCTTCTTTTTCTTCTCTCTTTCTTCTTTCTCTTTACGTTTCTTTTCCTCCTACAAAAAAATAATAAACAAACAAAATCAATTAAAGGGCAAAAATCAGCATTAGGCAATTAAAATAGAACAAATTCACAATAACAGTTTAGAAGATACAATTCATGAAGTAGAAAATAGAATAACTAAAAAGATTAACCAAGTTCATTCACAAACGCATCATCAACAGTTATATAATCAGGTTAATAGAGCTCTCTCATCAATGCAGTCATGAATTATATTCTGGTTTAAGGTGACATCTAATTCATTATCTTATAACACCTCCACTACGCTATTTCCATACCACTCAATTACTTAATATCCCTCTATCTCACTTACTCCCAAGAATATCCACTTTCAGATGCAGCCCTCACGAGTTGACTACTAAGAGTCTTCATCACTTGCCACTTGATACGCCTTCTTATTGTCCCGTAAAAACAGATCTCTTCCAGAAACAAACACTAATAAGTTGTAAAAGAAGTGATTTTTTACCTTTTCTTTTTTGAGCTCTTCTTTCTTTTTCTTTTCTTCTTCGATAGCTTCGTCAGATTTCTTGGTGTCTTCTGATTCACCTTCCTTTTTCCCGATTCAACTTCAACCGCTTGACAAATTGTATCCCAATCCTTCCAGTATTGTTCCTTCATTCTCTCAACAAATTTGAATAGATTAGAAGTATCATTCTTGATAAATTCATCGTAATTCTCGAATGGAACAAAAATGAATTGGGCAAGTATCGAGAAAACCTCAGCATCCAACTAGAGAAACAGAAAATCAATCACAAAAAAATGAGAAAAAGACAAAAATAAAAATAAAAAGTTAAATGTAAATGTAAATGAATAAGTGAAAGATAACATATGATTCATATTTTCTCTTGTCAAATGACATTTACCTGACAGTTAATGACAGGTAAACTTGATTGTCAATTGGACACATGAGTAAAAAATACACTCAAAGAAAATCAATTTAAGAAAATTTAAATTTAAATTTAAATACTAACCAATCGGGGTTTATCTCCAAAGAAATACTGCTTATCGCCTAATGCATTGCTTAGCATTTCCAAATCTTTACGCCCAGTAGCATATACTTGTTCAGCATCATGACGACCAATGCCATGCCCAATAAGGTCTTTGATATTCTGTTAATAAAAAGAGTTATAAAAAAGAATAAAATAAGAGCAACAGAGGGAAAGAGAGTAAAGCAACAAAAATATAGGGATTATTAAATAGACTAGATAAGCCCGCCATAAAAAACTATTATAAAGGCGCTAAAAGGAAACAGAGAAACAGGATCAAAAAGGGTGTTTTATTGCTACGGAAATTGTTTCTAATTAAAGATAATTATTGTATCGGAATGAATCAGGATAATAAAGTAAACAGATAAGCAGAACTGAAAATTGAAGGAGATATGCAAAAAAGGGTGGTGAAGTTAGTGCAAGCTCTATTGAAGATGAGGGTTGGGTGAGTGTGAGGAAAGATGAGAAATAAATAAATTGTAACTTACACTTTTGAATCCTATTTTGAACATAAAATTGAGAACTGATTGAGGTAGCTTAGAGTTAATTGTCTTCTTTATATCAGTTCCAGAAACTTTAAGAAACTCTTGTGGGTGTTTAAATCGCCAATGTTTAATAATCCAAGCGGTATGATTCTCAAGCATAGATTCTAAAGCATGGGCTATGACTTTTTGCTCGCCTGTCAAATCAGAATTTAAATCAATCTTAAATTCTTTCGATAATTCCTCAATTATAGCATCGGTCTCAGCAATTTCACGTCCATTCAATTCTACAAATGGCATATCTCCTTTACTTGATTTGTATCTCATTTTATGATCAACATTCTCATATGGAATATTTGCCATTCGTAAAAATGTCTCCAATTTAAGACAATGGGATGATGATGATGGTAATGATGCACATCTTTCAAATTGATACAAGTAGACTTTTCCTTCCTCAAAATCTACTTTGTGTACACTTGGTTTAGGTTTTCCACCAGTAACAGCATCTTTATTTGATTCTTCAGTAGTTGCCTCTGTTGTTTTCTTTGATTGTTCATCATCAGCACCAACAACAGTAGTTGAATTATTGGTATTATTGGTATCACCACCACCAACTTTATCCTCAATTTTGGAATCAGTTGTACCTTCAGTGGCAACGACAGCAGGAGCAGTTTCAACAACACTCGTCATATTATATCTTTGAATTAATAATCAAAAAGTCAAAGATTTAAATATATAAAGAAGAAAAAAAACAAAAATGAAGAATAACAATAGGATGAGGAGAGAGAGAAAAAAAAACTTAAATGTGAAAACAATTAAAACTCTCTAAAGTCACAGAAGATGAAAAAAAAAGTCGATCACAAAATGAAAAATCCACCAATAATAATCGTGGTAAAGGGATAAAAGGAAAAATCAGAATGACAAACACGGCGATGAAAAAAGCACAGAATAATGATGATGATGATGAAGAAAATTTAAAAATTGATCTGACTGATTCAGTGAGAGATGAAAAAAAAGAGAGTCAGAAGAGAGAGAGAGAGACAAGATGATGATGATAGAAAGATAAAAGAGGCGAGGAGACCAAGAGAGAAAAATAAAAAGACAGTAAAATAGAAAGAGGATGATAAGAGACAGAGAAACAGATACAAGAAGAAGATGATGATGATGATGAGAGAAGAGGGTGAGAGAGAAACAAATGGCGTCAACTAAGGAGTGTCTCTTTGCTTTTATAAAAAGAGAAGAGAAAAAAACGTGTGTTCTCAGTGTCGCCATCTATTCTTATGAAGGAGAAGCGAATTTTCTTTCCCCCGGTTGATTCTTTTCTCTCTTTGGTTTATATGTTTTCTCTTTCAACCAGATTGGTGGATGTTCGGGGGAAACCAAAGGGAAAGCGAATTGCGACTGCACGTGGACACAGAGAGATGGAGCTACTGGTTAGTCTCACGTTGCCTTTTCTTTTTTTCTTTTTCACATAAAAGGCTCAGAGTCGCCACTCCCTTAATATTATGCAAATATTTTATTCGCCACCATTTTACTCACCGTCTTCGTCACCGATCTCTTTTAATAATTTACATTAATTCGAGTCTTTTTAAATTGTTCGTAATCAATTTAATCATCATCTTATTATTCGTATCATTATCATCTGTCTTATTACTTTCTTTTGATTCTCTGTCGCATTTCGCGATTTTCTTTCATTAATTGTGTGTCATTTTTGTCTCTCTCTCTTATTCTCTTCTATTCTTCTTAGTTTTTTTCTTTTCTTCTTCTTCTCTTTTTCTGATTGGTTCAAATTGAATATTCACCAGTTGAACACTTACACACATTTAAACGGACCATCTTTCACCATCTTCTTCTAACCATCCGAATAAACTGTCTTTTTGTTTTCCTTCCTGTGGTTTAAATTTGTTTTCTCTTGAGAATTTTTCTGGTGTCTCTTGTGGAATTCTCTTGTCTTCTTAGCCGTCAACCCAAACAAAACTTGAAATACTCTTTGTTTTTCTTTATATTATTGTATTTAAATCTTTGATAATATGACGAGTGTTGTTGAAACTGCTCCTGCTGTCGTTGCCACTGAAGGTACAACTGATTCCAAAATTGAGGATAAAGTTGGTGGTGGTGATACCAATAATACCAATAATTCAACTACTGTTGTTGGTGCTGATGATGAACAATCAAAGAAAACAACAGAGGCAACTACTGAAGAATCAAATAAAGATGCTGTTACTGGTGGAAAACCTAAACCAAGTGTACACAAAGTAGATTTTGAGGAAGGAAAAGTCTACTTGTATCAATTTGAAAGATGTGCATCATTACCATCATCATCATCCCATTGTCTTAAATTGGAGACATTTTTACGAATGGCAAATATTCCATATGAGAATGTTGATCATAAAATGAGATACAAATCAAGTAAAGGAGATATGCCATTTGTAGAATTGAATGGACGTGAAATTGCTGAGACCGATGCTATAATTGAGGAATTATCGAAAGAATTTAAGATTGATTTAAATTCTGATTTGACAGGCGAGCAAAAAGTCATAGCCCATGCTTTAGAATCTATGCTTGAGAATCACACCGCTTGGATTATTAAACATTGGCGATTTAAACACCCACAAGAGTTTCTTAAAGTTTCTGGAACTGATATAAAGAAGACAATTAACTCTAAGCTACCTCAATCAGTTCTCAATTTTATGTTCAAAATAGGATTCAAAAGTGTAAGTTACAATTTCTTTTCTTTTCCTGTCATTTTCTGTCTTTGGTTTGCTGCTCACTTTACCTGCCCATCCCCCTTTAGTGTAGCTTAAGCTCTGTCTCCACCACCCATTTTAGAGTTTGGGTATCATCTATAATTTTAATTCTTTTTTCTTTTTCAATGTTATCCCAAATGATGATTGCTCCTTTTTTTGACATCATTGTCATCCAGTTTAGTTAAATTATTGACATTTTATTAGAAAAATGTTCTTTTAGCGCCTTTATTTTTTATGGCGGGCTTATATTCTCTTTATTAATCTCTATAGATTTCCCTGTTTTTAACACATACTCTATTCTACTTTTTTGTATCTTTCTATTAACTCATGTTTTCTATTGTTTTACTTACAGAATATCAAAGACCTTATTGGGCATGGCATTGGTCGTCATGATGCTGAACAAGTATATGCTACTGGGCGTAAAGATTTGGAAATGCTAAGCAATGCATTAGGCGATAAGCAGTATTTCTTTGGAGATAAACCCCGATTGGTTAGTATTTAAATTTAAATTTAAATTTTCTTAAATTGATTTTCTTTGAGTGTATTTTTTACTCATGTGTCCAATTGACAATCAAGTTTACCTGTCATTAACTGTCAGGTAAATGTCATTTGACAAGAGAAAATATGAATCATATGTTATCTTTCACTTATTCATTTATCATTAACTTTTTTTTCTTTCTGTCTTTTTCTCATTTTTTTGTGATTGATTTTCTGTTTCTCTAGTTGGATGCTGAGGTTTTCTCGATACTTGCCCAATTCATTTTTGTTCCATTCGAGAATTACGATGAATTTATCAAGAATGATACTTCTAATCTATTCAAATTTGTTGAGAGAATGAAGGAACAATACTGGAAGGATTGGGATACAATTTGTCAAGCGGTTGAAGTTGAATCAGGCAAAAAGGAAGGTGAATCAGAAGACACCAAGAAATCTGACGAAGCTATCGAAGAAGAAAAGAAAAAGAAAGAAGAGCTCAAAAAAGAAAAGGTATAACTCATTATTCTTATCAATTCACATTGACCAATTAATACTTATTTTTGCCCTTTTAATTGATTTTGTTTGTTTATTATTTTTTTGTAGGAGGAAAAGAAACGTAAAGAGAAAGAAGAAAGAGAGAAGAAAAAGAAGGAAGAGAAAGAAGAGAAAGAGCGAAAGAAGCGCGAAGCAAAGGAAAAAGCAGAAAAAGAAAAAGCTGAGAAAGAAAAGGCCGAAAAAGAGAAGGCAGAGAAAGAAAAGGCTGAAAAGGAGAAAGCTGAACAAGAGAAAAAAGAAGCCGAAGCAAAAGCTGAAGGTGAAAAAGGAACTGATGGAGGAGATAAAGCTGATAAATCTGGTGGTGAAGTAGATGAATCTCAAGGTAAAAGCGAAGCTGGTGGTGGTGGTGAAGTCGGTGAAAAATCAGCGGAGAAAAAAGATGATACCAAAGAAAGTGAAGGAAAATCCGGTTAAAGAACATTTTATATCGTTTGTTTATTTTATTCCCGATAACATAAAAAGTAATTCGAAAAAGATTTCAACAGGTCAACAAATCTGAAATTTCAGGAATATCAATTTTACAGGTCTGACACCTTATTAAAGACAAGCAATTTTCTAAATGCAGCAACATTTCTCAAGCCTGATGTTTCTCCTCATCAAAAATTTTCTTTTCATAAACAAAGATCTGATCACATTAGATCTGCTTTCATCTCAATTTGCAACTTCAAACAACAAAACCCCAATCGAAACAAATCATTTTCTCTCTTATGTATTATTTGCCCATTCACATAACACAAACACACACAAAACCATAATTTCAACATTAGGCATTACAATTTCTTTTCTATCCCTTTAAATTTTTTTTTCTTATTTTATATTTATTTTTAAAACTTAAATATTAAATTTTGACTTGTGATTAAGATTTGAAAATCTGTGTCATTTGTTTGTTTTTCAATTTCTTAAAAATCTCTGTTTAAATGTCAATTAAAAGGAAAAAAAAATTAATCCAAAATTCGTCTCACCTTTTTTTTCACATTTCGATTAACCTAATCAACTTTAATCCAATTGAACAATTGAATAAACTGTAACCTTTTTTAATTCAAAAGTTTCCATCATATGGACCGTTAGATTTACTCTGTTAACTTTTGATTCGTTGTCTTGATTTACGCAAATGATTAACTGATGACGATGATCAACGTCCAATCGGTTTAATTGTCTTAAAGGTTAAATTTGATCCGAGAAAAGAAACTTGTTGATTAACCTTATCAATCTAATTGTTTCTCATTGAAGTGATTATTTCATCTAAATTATGAGCGATTAAGTCTCATGGTTACTTGAGAGAGAATCACATCATGTCTCAAATGAACGAAATTCTTCACATCTTTTCGAAATTAGAATAAAAGTGAGAAAGATGATTTAAGAGAGAAAAAGATGAAGATGATGATCTTTCCAGAGACAATGCGATCTGAAGCAAAACGAAGCAGAAAGAAAACTCGAAATGCCGATGAATTTAAAATGATGAAGATGAAGATGAGTTTACGAATTTTGTGAGATTGAAGAGAAGGAGAAAGAGAGAGAGAGAGAGAGACTAAAGATGAAGATGAGCCAGTTGACAAGGAAAGATGATGACGATGAAGATGAAGATGGGAGAGTGATGAGGATAAGAGACAGAAGAAAATGTTTTCTTGGATTTGAAACTGCTTAGGTTTGTAATTGGAGAAGAAGATGAGGAAGAGAAGATGATTTTATATTTAGAACTTTCGAATATTTATCTCAATATATTTAACTGTTTCTTCACGTTGTTGATGATGAGGAAGAAGAAAAGATGAACAAGAAGATAAATCTGCGCATTTAGAAGATTATTTGTCCTAAAATTACATCGAACATCCATGAGAAGGAACCATTATTTTCGAAAAATTCGTAAACTCACTTTTCTTCCTCTCTCTCTCTCTCTCTCTCTCATTTTCTCTCCCTTTCACACTTATAATCCTAATTAAATATTCGAAAATGTAATTCTCTCGATTGTTTTATCTTCATCTTCTTCCTTTCTCTTCATCATCTCCATCATTACAAATCTACTAATTCTACTACTTAATCACTTTGAATTCGCTGACCGTTAAGTGACCTTAAAATCCGACGATTAACAAGAAAATGGATTTAAATTCGGGTGAAGATGAACCACTAACTCCAACAACTTGTGAGTATTTAATTTGATTATTTTTCTTTTTGATTAACTAATCAATCAACTGCACCTTCTTGAAATCTTCATCATTAGCTGATTAATTAAACGTTAATTGTTAATCTTGTTGTATTTTCATATTATTATCAAAAGGAAAATCAACTTATTTACTAATCAACACTAATTTAGAATCAAATTAATTCTCATTTCTTTTCAACTAATTAACCATTAATCTTGAATAGTAATTTTTGCAAAACCAAATTAAATGTAAATCTATCTAATCAATTAAACGATTAGTGTGAATTTTGATTCAGTTCCAGTGATGATGGTGAGCAAATATTTTCTAATTGTTAGTAAATTGTACAACAATCAACAGGTTAGTTAAATTGAGAATCAAGTTAATTATTCATTGGAAATGAATTAATTGTAATCAATTTGATTTAATCAACAACAGCAAAAGTAAAAAAAAATTAATATCAAGTGAAAGTGATTCAAATCAATGATTTAATAAATTAATCAACCTGTTGATCAGTGTGACTATACAATAGTTAATCAATTGTTTACAAGCAATTTGGAAAAGTAAACAAGTAAATTAAAATATAAATTTCGTAATTAGTTAACCAGCAATTTGTTGATTGGTGTAAAACCAGGAAACCAGAATGCAAATTAACCCAAAAACTGAACCCAAACCCAAAAGAAACCAGAGTTTCAACTGTTTGATATTTACCAAAATCTAATTGACAAAAAGTTGATTGTGTTACTCAAATTGATTTACCGTAAATGATTAAACGATTAATCTGTTAATTGTTGTATTAATTAGATAAGAAACGATATTCATCTTCCTGGTTCTATGGTCAACAGGATAACAGTTTTCCAACGATCGAAGAGCAAGTTGAATTGTGTCGGAAAATCGCCTCACAATTAGTTAATGATGAGAATAAGGAATCAAAAGGAGCTTCAATGTTTTACAAGAGGGTTAAACGAGCACCTAAATGGGTTCACCAATCAACTCGAATCACAACAATTAACAGTGGATCAACTAATACATTGAACAATATTGGCGATGATAAATCAACGGGAGCAATTGGATTGAGTGGTGATCAAGGATGTAGATCGGAAGATGAAAGAGAACAAATTGAAAAGATGAGACAAAGATTTCGAGATGAATCTCGGCGACCATTGAAATTAATTCTTGACCCTCGAGAATTAAAATCAGTTGAAAGACTACGAAAAAGTGGAACTTCATTTTCTGAGCATAACGTAATCTCACCTGATGTTTGCCATAATTTGGTAAAAGATTTAAACTCACCTGAGATTAACAAAGGAGCTCAAATATTTTTAAAGCGAAAGGAGAAAAGTACTCAATGGGTTGTGGAGGAAAATCAGGCGACCAGGGAGATCAGGGAGATAAAGGAGAGACAAGAGAAACAATTGGAAACCCTAACCACCGGCTCAGAATTATCCAGTCGACCCGAATCTCGATTATCCAATTACAATAGCAATCAACTGCCATCATTTATCAACAATCAACAACAACAACAAGCTAAATTGTTGGAGCAACAGCAACAACAACGTGTACGTTTAGTTAAATCACCTTGGGAAGCAGCATTAACAACAGGTAATGTCGACAATGCTTTTGTCACTGTAACACCGTCGAGAGTTGTGAAAACGGTTAAAGAGGTTGCTGCTGTTAAGAAACAATCATCTCTCGATAATCAACCATCATCATCATCTTTAATTGCTGATGATTTAATGGCTACAACATCAACAACAACCACAACTTCAACAATTAACAAAGTGACCACCAATTCCAGTGGAGATAATAATCAAAAAGTTAATTACAATAAAGATTTGTACTTGGCCCGAGCTCCAAGAGGTTGGAACACCAATGGTAAGTTAATTTGATCATTACAATTAACTTATTGTTTCGTTAATAATACAACAGAGCAAAGAAACAACAACAACAACAACAATTGATTACATTTTAATTGTTTCATCATTTGATCAGCAATTAATTATCTACCGTTAGAAATTCAATTGTTTGTGACTGTTGTTGTTGTTGTTTGTGTTGTTAATTTGTTAATCGAATCAGTTAATTGTTATTTATACTGATAGAGAAAATTTAATTATAATTATTTGATTAACTTGAATTTGTAATTTGATTTGATTTTCATGATAACATTTTTCTTGTGAATTAAGTTTTTCATGTTGATGATTAACTTAATTAATTGTAATCACTTGTTGCTGATTGTGTTCAATTTAACAGTAATCATCAAAAGTTTAAGGAAGGACAAGTTTGTAATAGTTTTAATTGTATGATTATGATGATAACAGAATCATTTAATTGCTATTGAAGGAAATTAATGTAACCAGAAATTAACAGAGAAAAGTTAAATTGTTGAGACTGTTAATGTTTTCCATTGTAAACAATTTACTTCAAGTTAGATTGTAAATCCCTTCACCATGCAGAGAAAGTGAATCAACGACCAGCCTATCATCATGATGATGATTCAGTATCAGAATTGAGGATTGAACCATCATCAGAATCAGGATGCTGGATTGTTTCCAGTAAAAAGATTTCAAGTTGACTTTCAATAGAAGGAAAAAAAGTGATTATAAACTTTTCTTGAATTTAGTAAATTGTGTTTATTATTATGAACTTGGCTTCGGATGAGTGAGATCAGCAAATGAGAAACAACAATAATCATAATAATAGTTTGTAGTTAATCATGATGATAATTTATCATCATCATCATCATGTTGTTTGATAGCTTGAAAACAATATGAGCTTTTTGATTCATTATCTTGATACCAACAATTTAGATGAGGAAATGAGTTGGAATTAGTTTGTTCATTTCATTGATTGTTTATCATTAATGTTTACAAAATTAGCTACAATTCATTATCATCAACAATTAAATAATATGATTGCTCAAGTTTAATAATAATTACAGTATAAACTTACACTAATTAGCCAATATTTAGGATTAGGATTAATCAGTTTTAATCACTTTCTATTGCTTTAAGATTAGTAGGATTAAACTTTCAGGTTTATTAACATGAGAGGAAATTTAAATTATTCTGATTGTAAACAAATTCAATTGAATGTAATGTTAGTATCTCTTCAATCAATTACATGATCAACTGTATATTTCCTTAATTGTTGCGTTAAACTTTCACTTGTTATCTTTACAATCAACTGAATTATCTTTTGGCTCTGAATTTTTTTTCTTTCCATCTGAATTTTCACCTAGTTTCATGTTAGATTCATGTTAAGACCTCAATCAGTTTCATCTTCAACTCACAAATATACAAATAAACAGAAAGAAATATTTTCTTAACCATCAACTGAAAAATCTTAATCATCGTCATTAAGAATCAACTGAATCAACAACAAATCGAACTGTAAAAAAGTGTTAATTATTTAGGTCGATCATGACAGTTTTATGGCAACAACAATTTACTAAATTGTTGTAGTTGATTATCACACTTTAGTTAAATAATTTACAATTTACTTTTTTTACTTTCACGAGATTTGGTTAACTTTTTTTTATTTGTGGAAAAATTTAAATTGATTATTAACCAAAATTTCATCTCAATTAACTGATTTTCTGATTTTCTGATTGGTAACTTTATGGTAAATTGTTAATTGGACATAAATTTAGTCTCAATTATTACTTATATTGAATTCTAATTGTCACAATTAATTGTGAACGAGCGACAAACTTAAATCACTCATCTAATCAATGTCACTTTTAATTTGATTTGTTTTGTTTTCAATCAGCTAATTTTTTTATTTAGCTTAATCATCATGATTTAGTTAATTAGAATCGACATTTAAATCATTATAATCATCTAATCACAATAATTTCAAATCTCTCTCTACACTAATTCAGTTGCTAATTGTTATAATCAACTAAGTTTATGGTTAATTACAATTGAAGTTAATTTTTGTACATTGTATATTTTGTTTAACTAATCAACATTTGTTTCCTAGTGAATATCAACAATTTAAAGTGATTGAGTATGTTGATTGTAGTGAAAATAACAAATAACAATCCTTAATTAAAATCTAATTGTGTTGCTATGTTTAAATTGCTTAACCATGATAATTAAATTGTCTGGTTGTCTACTGTCAACAAGCCAATTCTCAGCCCATTGTGGTGATTAAAAGATGAGAAAATTAAAATTAACATGATCAACATGATATTCACCTTGGACTGTTTACAAATTACTCTATTATTTACTTTAATTTATCAACAATTAATCAAACTGACAATTAAACATTTGGAAACAAATGATAATCTAAACATCAACTTCCAATCAACAACAACAATAATCCAATGAAGCGATTAATTATCTATTGAGATTCAATTTTTTCGAATTCCAATCCTTAATTGGTTAAATTAATGATCAATTTAATTGTTAGTTATTAAATATTTCCACTAAATTGTTGATTAATTATTTAGTTGAATTTTGGTTAATCGTTTAACTTTCAATCATTTGTATTCAATATACGAAGTTTTCAATTACAAATATAACCGATCCAAATCATACTCGTCGGATTAAAATTGATTTTAAATTGATTTTTAATTATTCATCTTCGGTTGATTAGCTAATCGAGGGAAATTAAGTTAATTGTGAATTAATTGTAACTTTTTCGTGGAAATTCAGGAATGTGTCGCCACCTCTTAGCTTTTTTGTGAACTTTTACTTTCGAATTTTTTTCCGAAATTTTTTTCCATTTCAATTTTAATTTCCTTCGTTAATTGTTTGTCTATTTGATTAATTTATCATTTTAAAAGAGATTTAATTTAGATAAGACCTTGATTGTCTTTCTTTGATTGGTCTTGATGATTTAATGGTGTTTTCTTCGAGTGGTTAATTGTGTTTGTGCCTTTTTCGTTTGGATGAGATTTTATTTCTTTGACTGGATTTGTTTTGTTTACTAATGGTAAATTGAAACATCCCTTTGATTGAATTGATTAAAACTAATGTACATGTATGTGAGTAATTTAGAAATACCTTTGAGTTAACAACTCTTTTCCATCATTAAGACTAGTTAATTAAATTCAGGTAATCAATTACTCTCTGTTTATTACCTTTTATGGTGTTGTGGTTCTTAGGTTACATTGATTATATATTTTTAATAATTACAAGTACCAACTAATTGTTTCTTTTTCTTTTTCTATATTTATTACCTTCTCTATTTCCGTTGGATTTATTACATTTTATTTGATTTGCTGATTGTTTTATTGGTCTGACATTGAAGAACCTCGACGTGATGATGGACAACAACAACATCGTCCAGTGTCAACTGCAAGTTTTTACCAACAACATTACTATCAACCAGGCTCATCATCTTATTCACCATTAACGGTTGGAGCCAGTTTACCAGATTCTTCTAGGAATTCAAGTCGCCTTGGAATTTATGATCAATCAAGCATCTCTGAACCCACACCCATGATGACCACTGCCACCACCAATACACCTTCCACCTTTAATAGAAGCACCAATTATGGGACTTTATATACCAGCCAACAAAAGCCTTTAACCTCCACATCGACCCATCAACAAAGTAGCATTGAATTACCTCATTTCAATTTATTGTCATTTGCTTCATCTCAAAACTGTTTACCCAAATATCGTGACTTCAATTCATCTCCTCGAGGTTTTTTTCGATGAAAATTGTTTCAACCAATTTCGAAAAATGTTCACAAATCAAATTGAACTCTAAAGATTAACTATCAACAGATTTTCTGTTCTCTTTTCTTCTTCTTCTTCTTCCTCCTCTTCTTATTCTGTGCAATTTTAACCTTTAAACTTTCGTGTGTTCATCCATATAAATATACAATGTAATCTTTAAAATTGATTCTCCTCTTTCCCGAAACACAAATTTACCAATTCACCTAAACAAAATCAAACATCGAACACACCAATTTCAATGTAACAATTATAAACCTTAATCCAAATCCTTCCATCCTTAACACGAGAAACAAACAAAAAATCAATCGAAATTGTTGAAAATTTCTCTTATTGTTGTACCTTATCAATCAGATTCGATAAAAAAAAAATGTCCAATTGTCAAAATGTTCAAAATTTCGCACTTAATCATTTTCTAATCAAAAACAATACAAAAGAAAATCTCAAGATGGCGACTGGTTAACTTTTAGAAAAGAATTTACGTTTCCATGGTAACAGCGAATGTTACCGGTTTTCGAAAACAGCGCCACCTGGTTGATCGAAAAAGAGCAAATGTTTGTTTGGATTTTTCTCTTTTCTCTTTTAAAATAATTCTTTTAATAGTTGGCTGATTAAAACAGAATTTAATTAGTTTACGTCTTCTTTTTTTTCGGTGATTTAATTGTGTAACCATGGGCATCGAAAGTGATCACTACCATCAAACTATATTCTTCTAATTGTTTGATTCGATTAAATCAAATTGTATTGTTTTTCTCAAGATCCACTTTCACTCGCTACTTGTTTACATTACAATTTTAAAGCGAATTAAATAAGAATTGCTAATTGTTTGGTTAATTTGATTTAATAACTTTTTTGTTCTAAACATGGTGATTGCCCTTTAGATTTAGTATCTATTAAGACCAGATCAAGTTATTGGAAATCAGTGATGAACGTTTAATTGCTTATAAAAAATATTTCTATGGTTTTCCATTCTTCAAGTTTTCTTTTCCATCATTTACCTATGTGTGGCTACAAGGTAAAGTCTGTGATCAATACTACTAATTAACTTATCTTCAAGATGAAAAATGAATATTTAATGTTTACTATTCGGTGATAAAGGTGTTTAAAATTCTATTTACATCAATATATTATCCTTTTCTGATTACCATCCATCTTATATCAATGCAAATCTACCCATATAACTGTCAGATGATCAAAACAAATAAGAAATTGAAAACCAGGTAAGTCAATTTATTTTATTTTCTATTTCAAACAAAAGCATCAGAATCATCAAAATATTTTCAATGTCAATGTGTCAATAATTCTCTTCGTTATAAATCTTGTGGTTACTACCCAATCAATTAGAATTGTGAATGATTTTTATCTATCAAAAAGCTTTTCTTTCTTTCACTTTGGTAGAATATCTTTCCATTCTCTATTCTGTTACCTTTTACCACTTGTTTTATTTGCTCTTTTCTCCTTTGTTTTTGTCAACCATGTTAATCGATTGTTAAATTATGATTCTATTGGTATAAAATCACAATGAGAAGCCAAGATTTTACACCATCATCATCAACAATAATAACAACAACAATCACTAGTTAACCTATTAGAGGTTGATAGGGAGGTAACCATACATCGTATGTCTTTCATTTCTGTCATCATTGAACCATGTAGACGTACACATAGATGATAATACTCATTGTTATCCAGTTTAGAGATAGTAAAAATAAGAGAGAGAGAGAGGTAAGAATAAGAAAAGAATGATATAAAAAAAGAGAAGATTCTTTAAGAAATCTCTTTTTCTTTTCATCATTATCATCTCGGTGTTGTTGTTGCCTTTTTTTCCTTCCAAAATCAGATACAGTTAACAAGCATCAAAGCGAATCACTCGTCTCTAAATAAGTAATACTATGATCTAAAAACTCATATAATTTCCCTGATCACTTTCATTCTTTTACCCTGATTATTACCACAGTCACCATCTTATAAGCATCTCTCTCCCTCAGTAACGATAATAACATATGAATGTTACAATCACATGAGAAAATATGAAAATGTTAAAAAAATGAGCCACACGTTAAACCGGAACTGAGAGTAGAAAACTTTAACTTCCTTTCCTTAAACAGAGATCTTATAGTCATGTTGTTGTAACCATTCTACTAAAAATACATTATTATTTTTCTTCTCTCTCACTCTTAGTGTCTTATTCCTTTGGAGGAAAAGATAATCAACATAGAGAAGAATCAGAGAAAGAAAAGAAAAGAAAACCAAAAGAAAAAGATAACATTGATATTCTAATGGACAGAGAAGAGAAAAAAAAACCCTAACGATTACAATTCAATTGAAGGGAAAAGAACTGATTGAATGTACAGTTATCTTCTTCCTCTTCATCCTCATCTTCTTCAATGTTTTTCCTTGTTGTTGCACAAACTATTATGCATCATCTACTATTTGTATCAATCACTTTTTTTTTCTTCCACAAAACGAAAATAATGTTTTCTTTCCTATTCTTTTGATAACTGATAACTTGGTATAATGATCTTTAACATAGAAAATCATTTTTCCTTCAAACTAAATTGTTATTGCAACTTACTGCCAATGACAATTGTCAATACCATTGATAATGAATAATAGTGTAGATGATGATGTTGATAATCATGATGATTCTGGTGATTCTGATGATAGATACATGATTCAACTTTGTTTATTTGTCATTTATGCTCACATATCCAATGATATGTTATTGGTCATAAATGATGATCATAATATCATCAATAACAATATGATATTATTATTAATGATAAAATATGATAATCATGATTATCAATGATCAGCAGAAATGTGAAGAAAAAAATTACAAAGGTACAGAGAAAAAGTTTTGATTACAATCAAATGTTTAACATCATCAACTCTTATTCGTCCAAATCTTAACGATAATCATTATAATTTATTGATTATCTTAACATTTTCACTTTTCTCTCTCTCTCTCTCTTGATCTTCATCACTTTATTAAACGATCATCAACTTATTTCATGTGAAATGAATACAACTTTGATATTGATGATGATACAAATATCATGAGTATATTGATAATAATATTAATGATGAAACCATATTTAGATGATAATCAACAAATCATTAATGATTAACTCTCAGTTGATGATTAAATCATTTTCTTTCCATTCAACTTTCAATACCTTAATAACTTTATCAAAATTTTTATTGATATTATGATAACTTACTTTGAGTCAATGTTTATTTACACATTAAACGTTAATGTAAGTTGATTGATTATTGTTGTTATTGTCATTATAAAGAAGAAGAAAAAATCTTAAAAGATTAAACAAGATTAACTAATTCATTTGGATTAGGTTTTCTGTTGTAACAATTAGATTCTCATTTCCAATATATTTATAAGATGAGATGTGATCAGAAAGTAAAAGTTTCATTGACTTATACAATTATATATTTCTTTTCTATTCTAACTGTAATTTATTTCTAATCATCTTAAATGATAAATCAACGAAGTCAACACGTAATGAAGATTATTGATTATCTTTGCCATTTTATCATCTTACTTTGTGATAATTTAATAAAGTCCACAGAAACCATTGAGTATCTTTACCCGCAAGGTTGTTGAAAAGAATCAACAACAAGATGATAAAAAAGATGCTGAGTTAAGAAATGATTACGATGATAATGGTAAGATACAAGAGATGACAATTTATACCTTAATTCATATGAGAAGACGAAACTGGTGAAAGGATTATCATCATCAGGGGTTAGGAAGAGGATAAGGTTAAACTAGATTGATAAAGTAGATGATGGCTTAAATTGAGTCTCATTTAACAATTTTTAAGATCAAAACGGATCTTTTTCAATCTCTCGCTCTCTCTCTCCTTCATATCCTCCTTCACCTCTCTCATCGTGACTTAACTCTTTTTGTTTCTCATCCATCTCTCCCTTTTCATTTTCATTCTCTCTTTCGGTCGTCTTTGTTTCAGGTAGACCTGTTTTCTATTGGCAAGTCAATATCGAAAAGAAGATGATGATTTGTTTCTCTTTGTTTTTCTATTTGAAAGACGATGAGAATGAAAAAAAGATGGATTTGAGGAAGAAAATTGAGAAAATCTTTTCTTCTGGATCAATTGAGAGTTTATATTCTAAATCCAGGGTATTTTTCAGTCAAAGACTTTTACAATAATAGCATTGATACTTTACCTTTTATTATCTCCTCTGTTTCTCTCATCCTCTATTTTATCATTTCTAATACTCTATCAATATCATGCCCTTACTATCAATGTGTATCAATGGATATTCTTATGAAATGAACATAGGTTGGAAAAGGAAATGAAAAAAGCGACTGTAATGTTAGTTGTTGCTGTAGAAACAAAGTATCAGTAGACATGGGAGTATCATGGGAAGAGAGAGAGAGAGAGACAAAAATAGAATCGAAATTGATGTCGGGTATTTTATCCTTTATGAGATTTAAGCATCACCTATGGACATAAATTACTTTGCTTCATCCTCATCCTTTTTCAATTTCTCGTCATCCTTTAATGTTATTATCAAGTCTAACCCGTTATCGTTAATGCATTTATATCCATCGACAACAAAAACAACAAAATCATAATGATAATATAATGTTTATATTCAATCACCAATATTTTGATATTACCTTTGTTATTATTTATCATTTTCAGCAACTTTTAGATCGCTCTCTCTCTCTCTCTCTCTTTTCCTATGATATTTTGTATTTATTTTAACTTGGTCAAACATTGATGTCCACTATTAATACCCTTGACAATAACAATTGATCCTTTTTCATCCGCATCTTTACCACCCACCTCTTTATCCTCTTCTCCGTCACATAATCATAATCATTATCATCACAATCTATCATTATTATTACCATGATTGTCGTCATTCAATATAAATAAACAAAAATAATAACTTTCATTTTATTTATCATTATATTTGGCTAATAATAATTTACATCTCTAATTCAATTGAATTGTAATCAAATCCAATCATAATCCAATAATAACATCAAATTGTTTCGATAAACTTTTCAATAACTTACATAAACTATTTTCGCAAATTATTGTATACTTTCAATATTAAACCTCTAATTTTAATCAGTCTGTATAACTTTATTGTGATAACATCAATTATACAATCAATTGATTAGTCTGGCTGATTATTATTATATTTGGAAATCAAATTACCAATGAATTTAATAACAATTAACCTGGAGTAAAGTTTTATCAGCCTGATGATAATTTTTTCATTTATCATCTAAATCACATTTCTAAATAATGTAACCTTATCACTTTAAATATTTGATTAGATTTTGTATTATCCATCTGATCATGTTAATCTTATGATGATGGTGATGATGATCAACTCAATCAAATTGATCAAATCTTTTCATTCTTGATTATAATCATCATCATCATTCTGAATCACCTCTGATGATCGATAAGACCCAAGATAATCAACCTTAAATGTTAACAATATATTCATGAGTTTACATGGAGAAAATATTAATCCAACAAGTCAATTCAGTTCTAGAACTTTTTTTCTTATCCATCGAAACTCTTGAAACTTTTCAAAGCTTTTTTTCTCACACTTGCCACTTGCCATGTCAGTGGAAAAATGTCTTATTATAATATACATAATCTAATCATATTTTATTGAATTGATGTAAAAAAATTCATCTAAAATTAGGTTAACAGTGATGATGATCAGTTAAAAAAAATGTATTAACATCAATCTTAACAAATCAAGTTATCAGTTACATTGATAACTGATTATACAATTTACATTACGGAAAAGGATGTAAAATACAATTTAAATGTTAACTATTCAATCATGAATTTTACCCTGATCATCATCACAATTGATTGATCTGATTGAGAGGCTGATGCTGTCATTAATCATTTAACTCTTAATCTAATTTGCAAGAATTTATCATTAATACGTTTCTTTTTTGTTCAATTTTTTCAAATAGAGAAATTGTCTCATCTTAAAATGTATTTTGTGGCCTTTCTTGTGACTAAGGTAAGTCAACAATTAAATGATGTTCATTTATTCATTTCGTATCAGCTGATTAATATTCTCTTCCTGTTGTTATACAATTGGTGAAATAATGATTAAGATGATTCATTGTTTTTTCCTGTGTAAACGGAAATCTATGGATTTTCAGTTGAATGTTACTCTTTTTCCGGTTGTGTTCATTGTAACTTTTGGGTTTCTCAATTTTGAAATTAGGTTAATATTTTGTCTAACTACTTGTTTATATGAAGTTTTTTTCTGCTGGATTAACTAATTGCATTAAATTGTGTAAACTTGATTGTATTATTTAAAAGGGGATCATAGTTAATTGTGATGAATGAGATTAACTATGATCACTTTCTGATTACTGTTTTGTTTGTTTGTCTGTTAAAATAATTTAATTTTCACCTTACATGATTAACATTAATTCAAATCAACTCTTTTAATTGATGATCTTAATAATAAGTCATGATTTGGGTTTAACTTAATAATGATAATTGTAATATTTTCTCTCTCTCTCCTCCCGTTAATTAAGATTATTTTTGATTACCTTATTACAAAGTATTACCAACATTTAGACAATTGTTTGAATCTAAACAATAATTAATCAACAATTAATGTGAAGACATGAATACCAAAAATCTAGAATATTTTCCACCATAATGAAAAGATTTCCTCCCAAATATATATTCATCCAAGTTAGTTAATTACATTGGGATTAATTAACTAGATTGTTAATCAATTAACGTTGTCTTTGCTAATTTCCTTACCTTCACTTTGAAAAAGCAATTTAAACCACCCAAACTATTAACTGTCAAGTTTACACCAATTTCATGGTTAACTAATCACCAACAAGATGAGCGAGAGGATTAAGTTGATAAAAAAATAGTTAATCAACTGACCAAAAAAACTAACCATTAACATGAACTTGTAACAAATTATTATCAATCTGAAAAGTTGATTAGATTACCTGTAAATTATAATCAGCTAAATACAGTTAATTTATCGTTAAAAATACTGGTTAAACAAGGTGATACTGATTAAGATGATGATGATGATATTGATGAAAACCTGCAATAAGATGATTTTAAATTGGGTTTCTGGTTTTCTTACCCGAAAATTGTATCTCTTTTTGAAAAGTAAAAATTGAAACAGGAAAAAAAACTGACCCCTTGACCCAAATTAAAGTCTTAACTTATAATAATAGTAATCAGAATATAATTTAAATAAGTCAATCTAATCTGTAACTATTAGAAAGGTATCACCTTGATCCGGAGCTGAAAAGGTCTTCATCTTCATCTTAATCATCATCATCATCAACAAAGCCTCCCTTTAATCAACTGATACTATTATTTATTTTATCATTAAGACAAATTGAAGTTCACTTGATAATGTAACAATTAATTAACTCACACTGACCACCTGACACACAATAAGAGTAAATTAAATGGTCTCAAATTTTTATTATAAATAATGTTAATATAATTATGATAATAAAGTTTCAGGTATGTTCTAGTAAATGATTTAGTTGCAATACTTAATCAACAATTAACGATAATGATCCTAACAATATCATGATTATACTATAAGTTACAATGTAAATGATTAAGTTAATATTACCACATTAATTGACATGATAATGTTAATTAGATCTGAATATTTTCAATAGTTTTTTATATCGTTGTTGTTAACTAATTATATTAATAATAATAATTTGATTGTTATTAATTTTATCAATGAACATTGTATTATCATTGTGGTTTATATTTATTTATACCTTTGTGAGTTAATAGTCAAAGTTGATTAGTATGATTATGTTAATTATTATCATTATTATTGTTAATCATTATTGATTTTTAATTGAATAGTTATTATGAATATTTATTTTCATGATTAACTTGAAAAGGTTAATATTTCAATCAACTGAACAGAAGTGAACAATTTAATCGCCAATGGAAAATATTTCATGTTTCAATGTGAGTTATTATTGATGATCTGGGATTAGTAGATTAATTCCCATGATAATGTACATTAGATTTCACCCTGAAGGTGATAGATAACCTGAACAAGAAATGATTACTGAATCAGAACTTTTCGTTGAGTTTATTGTTTAACTTGAACTTGATTGTAGAGACATTCAGATGATGATGAAGATAAAATGTTGTCATTATTGTTGATGATGATTCCAGGTATGTTTATCATCCTTTCTCACTTTTCCTCTTTCGCTCTCTCAGGATTTGAACTTGTTTCCTTTTCTCTATCATTCCTGTAACACAATAAACTCAGGTACCATCATTGTGTCAGTTAAGATGAATGAAACTCAGGTAACTGTTACCTGTGATGTAGATAAATACAAAAAAAAAGTTTTTGATGATAAACAGTATAAACTTTGATAATGAATACTCTGTTTACCGTTGAAAAATGTTTCTTCATGTCTTATTGTCATGGTGATTATCTTTTGAAAAAAATATGATAATTCAGACACAGAATAGTAAAAAGTTTGACCCATTAGATGATATGAAAGCAGTTTTTTCTTTGCGTTGACAATTGAGCATTTTAATTACTTTTTGTCCGATTTGCACATACATTTGATGTTCAAATATGCAATTTATCAATCAGTTGATAATTAGATTAGTTTTGATCAATAAAAAATTGATGGCCTGTTGAGAGATTGGGACAGAAGAAAAAAATGATTTCGATTGAAGAAAATTTACTAAAAAGTGTTGACCATTTAATCTAATACGATATTATATTTAATCGTAGGTCATTCGTTTAAATTGGCAACATCATTTGTCATTTGGTCTGTTGATCTTTAATACAGTTTTGTTGATTGTTCTGAAGAAGAACTCATAGAGAAGAAAGAGAGAGAGAGAGAGAGAGGGGAGAGGGGGTAGAGAGTAGAAAAAAATTCTGATTCTGATTTCTATTCTCTTTTTTTCTCACTTGGCTCTGCATCAGAGTAACACAAAAAAATAAAGGTTGATATATTTGTATCTGATTGAAATCAATGCTGCCAGTGAAAGTTGTGAGAGCGAAGAGTGAGAGTGAGAGATGATGATTGTGAGGATGATAAAGATGATGATGAGGAAGGCAAAATAAGGTGAAAATGGGGTTGTTGATGTTACTGTTGTTATCCAATCGCCATGAGGATTGTTGGCAACTCTGAAACCTCTCAGCCAAAAGCCATCAATCTTACCTCATTTTATTGGAATGACCAAAAGCTATGAGGCTATATGATTTCTCTCTCTCTCTCTCTCTCTCTCCGGCAAACAAGTGAAAAGATGATGACGACGATTAATCATCTGACCAGAATCGATCTTTACTGAAAATTTTCATTGAATTATTTACTAATGAAAAAAAACATTTTCATCTTACAACCGATAGATTAACGTTAAAACAATATTTTATCAAACAATATAAATTGAGTAAATCTTATCCTTTCTGATTATTGTGATTGTACATTTTCATTGCGTGTTATTGTTACAATTAAATAGCTTATTATCATGATGCACTTTATGGTTAATCCTAAGCTCTTGTATTCTATTACAAATGAAGAGAGTAATTTAAAAAAATTAACTTTTCATTGTACTGATTACTTTTCTTATCGTTGATTGTTATGAAATTTAAGACTAATCAGTACATCATCTTGTCCATCTTCATTTTTACCGTGATGATGATGATTAATCTAACCATTTTTCTGTAAATCGATGTTTGAAATCGTTAATTATTAACTTATTTCAAAGTTGATTGTTATTAGACAAACAGCTTTTAATATCAAGTAAAAGATTGAAATGTTTACACTTAGTGTGTTTATATTGTTTTTCAACATGCAAACAATAATTACATATAATCAATTGTAAAATTGTCGATGATGCTGGTGATGATTAAGACGATGACTTTAATATTGATGCAAAAAAAAAGGTAAAAGTGGAACGCGTTCTGTGCGTGCTTATTATTGTGTCTTGCAAACAATCAAAAGTAAACAGTGAAGAAAAAAGTTGATTGTAACTAAATTGTATTAGAAATATGATTAATACAATGACTGTAATCATAATAATAATGAAGATAATTGAAAAGCAGGTTAGCCTAATTCTGTTTATCTTTTGTTATCATTTATCTTCATCATCAGTTTTTTTTTTCATATTCAGTTGATGAAAGTCTTTTCAGAAGCATCTTTTTCATATTTCTCTCTCAGTTCATCATCATCCTTTTACTTGCATAATTGTGCCTTGAAGGTATCAATCTGCATTTACCCTTATAAACGATTACCCGTTTTCCATTATCATCGTCCGGAAGTTGACCTCAAGACTGAATCAGAAGGTCACCAGAACTGTTAAGAAAGATGAGAAAAGAATAGAAAGTTATCATGCATTGATAAACAAAATGAAGAATAAGATGATGATCAGGATGACAAGGATGAAGATAAAATTGCAAAAATAGCATATGAGCCATATTGAAGATATGTAAGCTTAGAAAAGGAGGATGAGGATGAAGATGAAATCGCTGATGTAAGGTCATAAAAGGAAGATATTTAAGAAGATAAAAGACAGGGGAGAGATTAGATGATGATAATGAGGATGATGATGAAAGATGAAGTAAGATGATGAAAGTCTTTTCTATTAAAAGATGAAAAAAATCTCAATCTTCTCCCTCTATCTCACTCTCTAAGTGGAAAAGTAATTCTGATGTTTTCTTTTGTTTTTCCATTGAAAACGAACAAAAAAACAACAATATCACTAATCTGATTATTTCCAAACTGATTAAGTGTATTAATTGGTTAATGACAATAAGGATGAACATACGATTTAATTGTTATTGTAACAATTTGTTAATCATGTTTAATTGAGGATAAACATAAACAACAAGTTGTGTTTATATACTTACAATTTTTTAATATCTTTGACCATTGAATTGGTTTACTTTTCATTGATTGTAATAGTTGAGGATTTTTACGTAACTTTTTACGAACCAATTTATCTAATTGTTCAGGATCATTGGGTAAATTTGATTTACTTGTTAAATTAATTTGATAAATTGCTGCAGATACCAGACGGCAAATAACAGTTAACCAAACTTCATGTTCAATTGCTGCTCCTAATCCAACTAGATGGGTAATTAGTGACGAGGAATAGAATTGGATTACATCTAATTGCGATGAGGTTAAGTTAATTGTTGATTTATTATATTCACTGATCATTTTTTGTGAATCAAGGATAATTGCAGTAATTGCCAAGAAGATTAAAAAATATCGACCAAATTTATACCAATTAGGTGATTTTATCTCACTTTTATTATTGTTAATACATTCACTTGTAATTAATGAGGATAAAGATGAGGAGGAGGATGAAGATGATGATGATGATGATTCCATCTCTAATTATTAATACATACAATTTTTTTTAACGATTTAAAAATTTAAGATCTTAACTATTGTTAAGACGTTTCCATTTTTACCTTTATTACCTTTACCACCCAACCCATCACTTTCTCCTCCTTGTTATTGTTTCACCTTGACTCCCAATCTAAATTGGTAACCATAGCAAATGAATTGAGCAAAACAGTCAACAATTATTCAAAGAGGATAACAAACAAGTATCACAGTGATTTACAAAGTCCTCAGGTAGGGAGTCGTAAAAAATGAAGATAATTATTCAGGTTGAATCTTTTTTTTTCACCCAAATATCAACAAAACTGTTCATCAATAATGTTTCTGTCAATGCGACTTAATTGTTTGCAACAATAATTGAATACAATTTAATTCTGTTGATTCATTAATCTTATTTCTTGAAAAGTTATTGTTAATTAACATCAATTGATCAGTTTTTTTTTCTTCTTCCTGTAAAATCCAATTGATTGGATTTGAAAATCGTTTTGAATTGTTGTTTAATCGTTGGCAATAGATTTAGATTATTTTTTTGTTGTATTATCAACAATCAATTCAATTTAATTCAAATTTAATTAATTACTACTGTAAACACAAACTCTAATCAAGTTTCAATAAATTTGCATTTCTTTTTCCTTATAAGTGTTTTCCTTTGTTTTACAAATGATTAATTACAATAATAATTAGATTGGATTTAGTAATTGATTATTTACAATTAGCTTTTTGGTTTTTGATTACAACATAAGCAAATGAATTGGGGCTCATAATGATGTTAATTAAGTAACGCAACTAATTGGTTAAAGTCCCAACAATTAGTTGATTGACCTTAAGGTTGAGTTAGTTGATTATTTTCAATCTCGATTTCATCTGAAAAAACTCATTACTTTTAACAAAGAAATGAAGGTAAAAAAATAGAAAGAAAAAAAAGAATAAGATTGGAAAGAGAAAGCGAGAGAGAGAGATGAAGATGATGATGATGATGAAGCTTAACCATCATCATGATTATCATCAGGATGAGCATCATAGATTTAACTATGGAACCCACCCTGTGTATGGTAACTTGGACCAAGAAAAATCTCCCCAGGTAGAAGGCGAGGAAAAGTTATTTTTGCTTCTTTTTGTCTGTCTATTTTTCCTTCACATGGTTGGACAGATTTTTGGCAACACTATCATCGTCTTCATCATTATCAAGATGAAAAAGTATCAAAGCTGAGAGAGAGAGAGAGATGATGATGATGATGATGATAAAAGAAAGTAAGATGATGGCAAGTAAAGTTCATTGATATGGTAAGAATTTGTTGCTATTGTGTATTTGTTGTTGGTGTATTGTAACGACTTCAAGTAATGGGAGGATGATGTTGATGAAGATGAGGAGATAACTAAACAGATGAACGATGCTCAAGATATTATAAAAAGAGGATGGAAAGTTGGTGTTCTTAGGAGGTAAGGATAAGATATGATACATTATTTTATATCTTAACTATTCAAGTTCATCGTTAAGCTCAAGGTCAACGGGATTTGTGCCCATCACTAGTTGTAGTTACCCATTCACGCTATAAGATGATAAATAAACCTGATAAAGTAAAGAAAGTGCATCTTTATGGTTATTTCAGATTCATTTTTTTTCTTCTTATTTTAAACTTTTTTTTTTCTCTCAGTGAAAGTTTTACCTGAAAAAGTTTATTCTCAGCATAAAATCAAGTTGAACAGATTGATTTCCATAGCAATTACATTTAAAATAATTATTGATAATCAATCTAAGATAAGGGTAAGCTAAATGCAATAACTTAAATGAACAAGAGGCAAAGTAGATAAAGTGGATTATAAGGTAAATGAAGATGGGAATAGAAATGACCTTTCAAGTGGTCATTCAATTGAAGAGAGAGAATTGATAAAAAATTAAGAGGAATGAAAATAAAACTGGAAAAAAGTAATTCACCAATTGGACAATCAAATGAATGTTAATGTTTATGATTATGTTAAATAAGAAACTGATCAATACTTTATCATCAATTGATTGTCTTGTATCAATTTAATTTGTAGTAATACATCTAATGGTCAAGGTGTCAAGAATGACCAATCAAATCAAGACACATAATAGACAATAATACAAAAAGAGATCCACAGATATTAACAAGAGTCAATTTCAAGCCTCATCCTCAACATCAACATCATGTTCAGGTCAATTTAGATATGGAAAACTGAATCAACTGAATCAACTGAACAACAACAGAAAACAATTGGTAAGTTAATAGGGAAAAATATAATCACCATGATAATATTAAGGTGGATGATTATTATCATGATGATCATGATGATGATGATTATTACAATTGCGTTTGTTTTGTACTAATAGTATAATAGTAGTTAGATTACTATGAACAGGAAACTCAATCAAAAACTAATTTCCATGTAAAAAGTCAACAACAATCAAGTAATTGATTAACAAATTTCATTTACCTTTCACTGATTCACTTAACCTGAGTCTTGAACTATTTAATATCGATGATTAGTTTTATCTTATTAATCTATTGTTATTTAATGGTAATTTTAATTGTTTTAGTATCTTAAGATTTTAATCATAATCGTTTCAATTTGATGATTATAACTTTTATCTAATCATAAATCTAATTGTTTTTAGATTTTTTTTATTAATCATTTATTTTGGGGCAAGGTTAATTGTTACAGCTCTTTCAAATCAAAATCGTCATTGACAATTACAATTAAAGTTACTGTAGTTAACCTGAAAACTTAAATAGACTTGCTAACAATCAGTTTATTGCTGCATCAAATTACATTAGAAGGAGATTAACTTAATTGATAATTAATGTTAAAATAATTTTAAATCATTTCATTGAATCAACGGTGAGAAAAAATTTATATAATATCCATAGACACTGACCAATGGTCATTACCATTAAGAGATGTTATGATTACAGTAAATAGTAATTGTGATAATTATTAAGATAACTGCTATTTAATTGCAATTAAGATTTGATCATTTTTTATTCCTCAGCCCTTTGATTATTTACTTTAATGTTGATTGTTAATCACATGGTAATGTTTACATGATTATTTATTTTTCTTTATCAATAAATAAATAATAATTAACAATTTCAATTATGTTAATCATTTGATTTTAAATATCATCAAGTAAAAAACAATTAATCAACAGTTGGTTAACCAACGGTAAATAATAATGGCTGAACGACATGAAAAAATTGAACAAACTGGTTGAACAATTAAACACATAATCAAGTCAAACAATCAAATCGCTTGAGATGATTACTGACAAAAAAAATGGACTTTTATCAATACTATTGGAAGATGATGATAAGATGACAATGATTAGGTGACAATGATGATGGTTAATGATACTTATTGATGAGAGTGATAAAAGATGACGATGATTACCTTAATTTGATTGTCCAAACCTTAAATAAGATCACCCGGTAACCATAATTTTCTCTTTCTTTTTCTCTTTCTCCTCTTTCTTTTATTACCACAACATGCGCACCATTTTTACTCTTTCCTCATGATTTCTCTCTCTCTCTCTCTCTTTTCATCCTCATCTTCCTCTAACTCCGCCTTATCATCATTCTGGCTCCTTCGGCTCACTTAACTGTAAGAGTTTGTTCAAGTTCTGAAGTCACTCATTTCATGTTTCAAGAATCATCATCATCCTCATCACTTTTTTTTCATCAATCTCATCATCTGTTTCTGCATTTAAATGTGTATCAAAATTATCATCAATTGTTGACCCAAACTTATTAGTGTATCTAATTTAATTTAAATTGTTTCAATTGTTTTTTTCTACTTTATTTGGATCAATTAATTAACGTGTTTACCAAAGTTTTCATCTGAATTAAATTGGGATAACAATATGATTCCTAATCTTTCAAAAAGTTTCCGAGACTAAGGTAACTAAGTGATATTTATTTCTCAATGAGATTTTGGTTTATCCTTTTTTCCTTCAACCAGCTTATCAATTAACGATAATTATTTGTTAGATTCAATTATCTAGTGTAATTTTCATCCATTATCATAAATTAGTCTCTCTATTTACATCATCTTCAAGTCATTATCATCATCAGTCATCATCTTGGTCTTTTGTTGGTTTTTTGCATCTTTCAAATTTTTATTTCCATGATATCAGCATCAATCGAGAGAGCCAGTGAGAAGTTACTTCATCTTCATCATCATCTCTAAACCAATTACAACTTACGATATTATGATAAGTTTTTATCCGAAAATGCTGACGATGATGATGATGATGATGATGATGATGTCCACTCGATATTATGGTTAAGAATATAATCTTTTGACAGTTTTTATCTTCTTGTCTTCATCTTATATAAATCATGATAATCATTTGCATCTATCATGAGGTTTTCATCTGCAATTGCAAATGATAATCAATGATGAAGTGGGAGTACGATGAAAATGATGATGATTACAATTTCAATTAATTTTATCATCAATCTGATTGCAACTTCTCCTTAATTTGATTGTGAATGATCAATGAGAGTTAAACCTTAGAGAAGGCAATTAACTAATCAAAAGTATGCCAATATTAATGATCCAGTTGATAATTGATAACAATTGATTAGACTAATCTTAGAGATTAACCATTTTAATCTTGAACCAATTAGCTAATTGTTATGAAGGTGAAACAAAAGATGAACTTTAATCTTAAAGTGTGTGAGGTTATGCAAATGAATTGATGAATTTAATTGAACATTACTAACTGATCAACGTGTTTGTGTGAATATTAATTAATTTCTCATCAACAATTACGGTAATTTCGATACAGTTTTCAACGGTTTGTGTGAATTAGACTTGATATATTTAATCAGCTGATTTAGTTTTCACATCCTAATCATTTGCAATTGTTTTCGTTTGAAACAATTATCTATCTCATGGAAAATTAATTTACATTTTTTTGTTTTTCTTTTCTTTTCACAGTTTTATCGCTAATCTAAATTAACGGGATTATTATCAACTGAATGTATCAAATGGATTATTAAAAGTGACCTTAATCAAAGAGATAAAGATTAAATCGTAATTAGAGTTAACGAATTAGTTAATGTGCTAATGTGCTAATTGTCATAATGACAGTTATTTCAAGCTCATCATCATCCTCATCAAAGTTATCATCATCTTCAAGTGATTCCTTACGATCAAGTAAATCAATAATACCAACAGGAAACACACCACCCTTATTATTATCAACACAATCAACCACGCCAACAATTGCATCTAATTGCAATACTATTAATAAATCAACTTTTAGTACAACAATTAACTCAACCTCTCAACGGATAATACCAACATTTGATGATCATCATAATCAATACTGTAATAACAACAATGGTCATAACATTAGTGAAAGTAAATTAAAATGGTCAGCACATTCATTTAAGCCATTAATTGACTATAAATCTAATCAACGTGGACGTAGTCCAGTTTATGGTAAACTTAAAACAATGGCGATTATACCGAAAAGGATGTTAGCCAAAGCCTTCCAGGTAAGAATCAGCTGTTTGATTATTTGAAAAATTTAATTAGAAAACATTTAATTTGTTTGTTTCTTTGTTTATTAATCAAATTATTAGATTATTTTCAATTGGATTTAGATTTTCGTGATATTATATTTCCCGGTGATTCAAATGATCAGCATGATGTTTTTTTTTTCAACAATTATAATTGACAATTAGTAAAAAGATAAATGAATGATGTATTTTTTATCTTGTAACATATTCTTATAACTTTTTTTTTTCATTTCTTGGTGAAATTATCATGATGATAATTTAATTCATGTAATATCAATAATTTTAAGGTTTCGTATTACCGTTAATTTAAATGTAAACAATTAACTCTTGAAACGATTTATATTATTGTCATGATAATAATGATTATGAAATTTTATCATCGCAATTTAAGCAACTAATATGATTGTTCAAATTGTGATAATTTATTTTGCAACATGAGAAAAAAAAGTTTCATCTTCAAGTTTATTCATGATGGTTTTTTTCTCGTTGCTAATCTCTCTCTCTCTCTCTCTCTCTCTTGCTCTGTCGTGTCGATTGTTATTTTTATCATGGTGATGATTTTATTCAGGCTGAAATGCATGATGTTGACAGGAAGGATTATGTCGTATTCTGGTTAATCTAATCTGGCTTGAAATGTGTCTTCTTCCGTTCTGATTACCATCTTTGTTGTTGTGAATGTGAAAATTAAGAAACTTGACCATTCACTATAATAACTGTGAGTTTGGTTAGTTGATTATTGTGAGTAAATTAAGTTAATTGAAGGGAAAGGAAATGATAATCATAATAATAAGGTATGAATGGGGTTGAATGTTAATTATTGTTGTTGTGTTTCAATTGTGCTAATGTTTTTGTTTCTTTATCATGAATCTCATGACAACGTAGTCTTATTACAATTAATTAGGTCAAACTGACCTGACCAAACAGTTTGCTGCTAAATTGTTAACCAATTTAAAGACAATCAGTTGATCATTTCATGTAAATCACTTTTTTCTCAACTAGATTAGTGAATTGTTACTTTCTATGCTAACCAATTTCAAATGATAGAAATTAAATCCCTTTAATCATTGAACAATTTACAGAATCTTTTATCCTGATCCTCTTAAATTGTTATCATTTATTAATCAACCTGTTTTTTTTTCAAGATTTGTCGGCTAAATATAACTTTCATAATTGCCGCTTATAACTTGCTAATTGTGACAAAGTTCAAATTGAAATTGATTGTAGCTAATTTGTTAATTTTTTGCCTTAATTTGAACCTAATTGGCTGATGTATCCTCAATTTTACTGATCAGCAAAATGAGTACAATTTGATGAAATATCATCAAACATTGTCATCTTTTTACTAATCATAATTTAAATAAATCTGTCAAGTTTGTTAATCTTAATTGTTTGCTGTTTCTTGCATTTTGATTGTTAAGTTGATGCAAAAAAAAACGTGCTATTACTTAATCATCATCATCTTACATTTGGTTTTTTTTTCATATTAACTGTCAATCAATCAGCAATTTACACAATATCGTTAATCCAGTTATAAGTCTACAAATGCGAAAAGCAATTGAATACAATTGGAAAAAAACATCTCAACAATTGGATTAATTGTTGAACAATAACTTTTCCTTATGATTGTTACTATCCAAATGTAACTATTTTTGTATAAAATTTTGTTCACTATTGAAAGTTAATTGTTCTGTCAAAACTTTGAATTAATAATCAAAAGTTTTCACTGATTGGTGAAAGTTTAAGCAAAAAGTACTAATTGACTTTAACTTTGTCATAAAAACTTAATCAAAATGAATCCCTAGTAGTTAGATTCAAGTGAATTGTCATACATAATACAAACAATTAACTAATTGTAATCAAAGTACAACAACAACTAATAAGTAGATCTGTTCATTTAATCAGGATTTTTATTTACCAATTAAATGGTAATCATGAATTCAGGAATCACCTGAATCTTATTGCATCAATGATTATCTTCCTGTTCATCGTCCTTATCATGATGATGATAAAATAAAAATCACATAGACACCAAAAGGATGACTTGTATATTTGATGATTTATCCTTCCAACACCTTGAACCTTTTTTTTATACTCACTCAACCAATTAGTTTTGTTTATCATCATCGATAAATTGACAGATTATCTCAGGTATAATTTACCTATTTACTTTTTATAAACATTGCATGTTCAATAAGATTAGATTAACCCAAATTATATTAATACCTAATGTTCAATATCCTTACTCAAGGTATTACGCTTGATGTTTGTTGTCAAATTTGCCAATACAACAAAAACTAAAAGCAAATACAATCATCTAGAAACTTGATTATTCAAAGTTAACCAAACCATAATCAACTAATTGTTGTCAACAATTACTTTCTACCTTTTAAATTAGATACCAGATGATTTAATCATTTAGTTTTCTCTCTCTCTCTCTTTGTTTGTCTGTATTCTCATTCATTTGCAACGTTGTTCAATTTAACAAATTGAATTTGCAAATGATTCTCATCACAAATTCATATTGTGATTGCCAACAGTTAATTATCATTACAATTACGGGTGATTAACTTTTTTGAAAGTTGTGTATTGTATTAGATGTGTGTTTCTCAGGATCAATTTACAATCATTGTTTGATGTTGTTGTTTGATGATTGGTAATAAACTTTTCAATTTGTTGATTGTTGCAATTGCGTTTAATGGTTACTTTCAATTGATCATTAAATTTTATCAATACAAACCGTTTGTTGTTACAATGTTATAATGTTACACAATATCTTAAGGTGTATCAACTTGTTATCGTAAACGTTATTTTCAGGTAAACCATTAAAACTATTTGCAAAAATTTATCGTTTCTTATTGTTAACCTAGTTGAAGTTTATGATACATTTGAGATAAAAATTGCTATCGAACTTTTATTTTCTCATCTTTTAAAAGTGATTCTGATAAATCATCACAATTTAATTCACGTTTTCATCTCGTTTTTCTTACCATTCACTTGCTAATCAACTAATTATCACCAATGTTGTTAACAGTTTTTCACTCTTATTGAAATATCATGTTTATCATTACCTTGTTATCGTTACCCTGTTGATAACACATAACTTGTTATACTTTCATTATTAGTTGTTTATTAGATTATGTTTCTAATTGAGTTTCTGTGTTACTTTTTTTGTGTTACTTTCTACTTTTAATTCAATTGAGTTTCTCTAATTATTTTAACAGATAATTAAATTTACTTTTCCTCTCTAACTTACCCTTTGAAAGTTACTCTTTTAATTGTTATCAGATTAATTATATTATTATATTAATTTTCCATATCTTGATAATCATCTTAATAGCAACAAGATTCAATATGAAAATTTTGCTCTATCATATTTCATGTAAAACTTGATGTAATTATGATAATAAACACTGAGAATAAGTTTTCAGTTACTGATTATTGACTGGTTGGAGTGGGTGGTGAAAAAGTGTAACTATTATATTCAATCATCGGTAATCATAAGCAATTAAAGGTAAATTGTTAATAATAACGATGATGATGTTAATTGTGTGTTGATATTATCGTTTTTTTTTACTGGTGATAATAATAGTTGATATTAAATCAGGTCAATGGTTAGGCAATTACACATGAAAAATGACTTGGAAAAGTTTATCAATAAGTTTGTAATTGGAAATTTCTTATGATCTATTAGAATCATTTTATCGAATTTGTAATTAAAATAAAACTACTGTGTCTTTAAACGATAACATTGTGAACACACACTCGAAATATTAAAATTGAAATGATTTGATTGTTGATTGTTGATTGTGAATACTAATGTTTATGTTGATTTGTTTTCTGTGTACAAAATTTGATTTACATTGATTTGGATTTCAATTGTTATCACTTATTGTCAATGGATAACAACATTGATGGATAATAATATAACTTGAATAATTTGGAATTTCATTTTTTTTTGTTCTCATTGTGATTTTTTTTTCTTCGTCAAGGTTCTTGTGTTTTCTCAATGAATAATATTGAACTTTCTTTGCCATTTTTTCTGACAAAATCCATATCAAATTTGAATTGGATCAAAATAATTCACTTTTACATATTAATCTGATTCATTTTCAGAACTTTTTCTTACTCTTTCACCCTCGAATCTGTTATCATTGCTATCTCTTTGTGTGTGTTTGTCTATGGTACCAAGGGAAGGTTCAATTTTTTCTTCTTCTTAAGTTGAATATTGATTGAACAATTCATATATCGTGAACTATTCTGATTCTTTGAGTTATTATCGTCAAGAATTATTATTCATTCCAGTGTTCATGGAGAAAATGAATAAGATAATATTGATCTTTATTCAATTGCAAAAGTATTTTTTCTGATAACTTATTTTAAATCATTTTCTCATCTGTTTTTTTCATGTTAATCTCATTAATCAAAAGACTCATGATTATAATGATGAAGGAATTAGTTGATCGGCTTGATTTTCTCTCTCTCTCTCTTATTCAATCGATGATTTTTCATTAATTATTATCATGAATTTTTGATTCAACTTGATCATGATAATGATTATAAATGATGTTTCCATAATTGATCAGGATTTGAATCAGAATTAGGATGAAAAAGGGCCAATTATTTTTCAGGTATCGACAAAATAAAGGAGTAGAATTGTTAATAATAATTTGAATGATGATGATATTAATTCTTATTTTGATTCTATCACTTTATAAACCGGATATTGACCTCTAATAATTATGATGCCTGAATGATGAGGATGGAGATGATAACTGGAAAACAAGTTGCATAAATCAGGTCATTTTTGAGCTGATTTTTCATGTTAGATTTATAATCATCCAGATTATTATCATGATTGTTGATAATTATCTTGATCAATTTTATATCAACATCATCATTATCAGTAAGCTTTCATTATCCTAATTAATATCATTTGATCCTATTGTAATAATAGTAAAGCAAATTACACTGATGAT